CCATATCAACATATTGACTTGCTGGTCCTTTATCTCTATTTAATACTTGTTTTTGTGTTTATTGTGTAAATACAAAATGTTTTTAATTATTTATTATAATTTAAAAAAATTTTAAACACAAGTGCTGGTAGTGTATATATACAGTATGCTTTTGTGAATACTAAGGCTTGTACACTGAGAAGTTAAAAGCAGATAATTAAGACTTATTAGATACAATTCTATAACGTTTTTTTTTTTTTTAGGGAAAATTGTACTACTACATTAAGAGTAAAAAACACAAAAGCCAATGTTTTTTGCCACAGTGAAAGGTAAAATATTTTTATTGTTGGTTGCAGCAGACTAGTTGTGGTAACAAAGCTACCATAATAATTGTTACCAAAATTAGTCAGCTGTAACTAATAGTAAAGATTTACCTTTGATTATGCCAAAAAATGTCGGTTTTTGTGTTTTGTACTCTTATTAAGATACAATTAAGATACAATTCTCTTTACCAAAAACATTACCTGTTATTACTTGTCTCATTAAATATTTTGGGATAACGAGAGAAAGTTATCTTGTTGTATTCAGCATGTTTTCTACAACAATTCTAATTCGACTTGCAGTGCTTACACGATAAAACAGTACACTGAAAGTTTATTTAATTTTCACATATTTTTTTTTTATAAGTTTTTTTGTAGTGCAACTAATATTAAGGAATGTTTTCTTAATATATACTAGAAATATGTAAATAAATTGCTATATTATTAAATTGAAATGTATTTTCTATTTGTATGGTTCATATGAATCTACCATAATTTGAGAATTTTATTATTTATAAATGAAATATGTAACACCAGGATGTAAAGAAAATGAGGAAAATAGTAATGATCAATGACTAACTCAAAGTTACAATACTTGTGAATTCATGTCATCTTTTTTTTGGAATTGATGGTTATCTGATTGCAAGGATAATATGAAGATCCTCTTTGGGTAACTAAGGCTAGCCACCTGCTTTAACCAGTCAAGAGAGAATTTTGTGTCATTTTTCATGCTTTTAAAGGCTTTCTATGATGGAGGGAAATCGTACAGTCTTTTGTTCAAATAAGCAAGAGGATAATTTAAGTAAAAGGGACTGTCTGTGTTCTTTGTGTTTCTGTCTGTCTTTCATAAAAAAGTTTAACAATTTTCTTTTATGTAATAAATGTAAAAGTTCAAAAAGAAAAGTATTGGTTTATCAGAAATGCTGTCCTTGGAAATAATTATCAAGATTCATATGGGTCAAGAAATTTCTGGATATTCAGGGGAAAATGTTTTCCAGTGCTTGAAAGTCAGAAATTTTGATAATTATAGTTGCGATCATGGAAGATAAAATAGGGTGAGCTTACTACAGAAATTGCATGCAGTATAGCTATAACTGACTTTCTATTTGCTGCATGTCTAATGCTTGCTGTGGATCAGTCCCTGGATGGGCATGGAACTTCTAATAATAGATCATGAACTTCTGCATTGTTTGAGGTGTACAAATCCTGAAACCTAAATCTCGGGTTTAAAATTATGTTTGTTTTATAAGAACAGGATTGAATGTATTCCATGTGAAATGCTAGTATAATATGAGGCAAGTATAATTCTTAACTTACCTTACTTTCTTTTCAGGTGAAGATATAAATTATTAATATGAAAAATAAATTTTTTGTATGTTTCAAAACTTGTGATTCATTGAGTAAAGCATGAATTCACACTTTGAAATTGATACAAACAATTCCACCAGTCTTTGCATTTTATGCAGATGTCTCGGTATTACTAGAGCATTTGTTTTTAATTGTGACATTTAAAAAATTTTCCATAGTTATTTTCATCGGCTTTCAACCAAATGTTATGATGTTTTGAGTAGTAGTAGTAAATCTTTTGAAGTTAAACATTTATCTGTTAGTGTCACATATTCATCAGATATTGTTCCTAGTATATGCACATTCATAGTTTGGTATGTACTTGAACCTGTCAGATTATGCAGCTGTGTATTTCAAGGTTCTTATATTACAGAGGCAATAGGCGTTTTTGCTTCTGTCATAAAACGTCAGAAACTATGTATAATGTCAAAGTCTCAGCATGGTCATTTCAATCTTTTATTAATGTATATCCAGATTTTTTTGACCTAATGGTTTCTATTGCTGATCATTGTCATGTTTTTAACCTTTGGTCATTAAATTTGGTATAACATTTTTATTTGTATGGTTTAATGTTATTTCTTTCTTTGTTGTAATGTGGAGAATTGCCAGATATTTTTTTCATAGGGTATGTATTAGTTCTACCTTATTATTTCTTTTAGTAATCCATCTTTTACTTCTTGTAGTCATCATTCTTGGTGTTTTCAAGACAATAAAACCATTGCAGACCTAGTTATCATCAGTATGTTGAAAATTAGCTTGTTTTTATTTGGTGTTGTTTGTTGTTAGCTGTGGTTTTGTATAAGCTTATTTTTACTTGTTTTTTTTACAGGTAATTAGGTGCATTTGTTTGATGAACCATCCAATCCCTAACACTAAGGATGCTTTATCTTGTCAGATTATTATTCCCCAGAAACAAGTTGGCCGTCATTCAGGTAGAAAGCTATGCATTTATTATACTGTTAAATTTTGGAATGTGTTTATGCCTTTTAAGATTCTGAATAAAATTAGCCAACATATACTGGAAGTTAAGATTTGTGCTATGTTTTCAAATCCTTGAATGCCCTGTGACATTTTTTTATAATGGTTATTTATTGCCAGCTAAAATCATTTCTTTTTTTTAATGATATAAATCAAATCTACTAAAGAAAAACCTAAGTATGAACAATAAGAAAAAAACTTGAACATTTCCTGTATGTGCTGGTTGACATTATAAGTAATCCATCAGTGCTTGTTGTTTTTTTCTCTGAAGACATTCCATGAAATTTAAACCAAACTGTAGACTTGTAGACAATCAAATCTTATATTTTATCATTTTTGTAAACTATAACTTGGTAATTTCAGTTTTCAGGATATTGTCTTCAAAAACCCTTATATGTAATAATGTTTGTTTGACAATCAGCTCTTTTCATTAGTAAATTGATAATACTTTTTTCTAAGAAGTGAGGTATTGGGAATGATGAAAATCTTTAATTTTTAATGTTATTGAAACCTTTGTAATGAATTTTTATATACTGCACATTTCTTGAAAATATGTACATCTTTAGTTGTAAGTAGATAATTAGATAATACATTTTAGTTAGCATTATGAACTTAATTTGTGTTTCCTATATTATTTTTATATTGTTGTTAGTGTAACAAATTTTAAACTTCTAAAAAATAACCGATTAATAAGAAAATTAATAATTTTGAATAAAAGTATAATTTTATTGAGTCAATAACTGAAAGAATGATAATCACATATTGAGCCTACAGAATTAAATTAATTTTTAAAAATTAGCTTTCAGATATTTAAGTATATCAACAAAACTTAACAAATGTTTATCATAGTGTAATTGAAAGTTAACACTTCTCTATCTTGTTTTTCCAGATATCTATGTGTCAATGGTTTCATACACACATCAAGTAGCAGCAAAAGGCTGGTTTGTAGCTATGGTTAGCACTGCAGTGGAGACCCCTAACCCTGAAGAAGAAATCAAGCCAGGACTTGACCTACTGGGTCCCATTAAGCAGAAGTAAGCCTTTTCACTTAAACATACGCTGTCTTGTTATATCTGTTTATCTTACAACAGTGATGTACAGAAGCTTGAGTATATGTTATATTTAAAATCATCTTGAATATGCAAATCAGCAAGTCACAACCACAGCAGATATAAAGTATCAGAACAACATTTTTATTGTTATTTGTAAGTAGTGTGATGCCACTGATCATCTTTGGGAAAGGTATGTAACAGACCTTTCTGAAGGAAAATATTCGTACTCTCATGTCAAAGATGTGTTCATATTGAGGATTTAGAATTTTCAAGACTGAAATATCTCTTGTACATAATGACATTGGAAAGCAAAGGAATATGAATCAACTTGGAAAACCCAGATGATTCAAGAAGAGACCTACAACAAGTTGTGTACCGCAGGCGAGGTAAGCAAAGCATTGCATATTGTAACAGGTAAAACTACAAGGAAATAAAGGTTAGTAGCAAAAGCCACCCACATGCCCCAATATGCAACATAAACAAGAAGGATTTCTATATATAAAAGTGACACAAGTTATCTTTTCAACTGCATCTGGAACATAAAATGGGTATTTATGCTATTACATATGATCACATACCAGTAAAGTTGTCGAATGCAGTGCCTATGGACTTTTGTGGGATCGGGCTTTTGAAATGGGTACTTTTACAATAGATTGATTATGAAAAGCCAACTGAGAAGAGTGGTGTGCTTTGGATATAGTAACCTTATGATGGAGCCTTTGGCAATGGAAACCAGAATCAAGATTGAAAATTGTCATATGGTACTTGACTGGAGTGTGGCAATATGAACTGTAATGATGTGATGAGACTCCAAAATCATGTTATAATGTAATCAACCTATGTTTTATTATACTGAAAGGACTGTTAACAAAATTAAAAGTAAATGTAAGCCATTGGTGTGAATTTTTATTGTTTTATAAAATACTAAAACTCAACTGTCTTTTTCAGTTGTGGCTTGAAGTGTCAACTATATACAAGTAATATGCTTGTGTGTCTGTTCGGAACTTTTCTCACAATTTTCTTGATCAAATGCTACAAATTTGATGTAATTAAAAAGGCCTTTTTCTGAGGAGTGTGGATCGCATATTGGCTTTTTCATTCAGAACCAACTTGCCTGTTTTTTGCTTAGTCAAAGTTTTTGATGCAACATGTATGGTACACGATGGCACAATGTTGTCATCATGTGACGAATGGCTTTGACTTCAACTTTAGTTTTTTTATTTGCAAAGTATTTCACATAAACACCACTAACTCGCATGTGATTTTCTAAAAAAAAAATTAAACTTACACTAAATACAATTTCTATGGGCTTTCTTGACTTATTTAGGTCTAAAATATGTGTGTGTGTGCAGTTCATTCAAAACCATGTATTTATCACTTTGTTAACATGCATTCATATGTTTCTGCATGGTCAGCTAAGTTTGTCTTCATTACAACTATACATTTACTTTACTTTGCAATAATGTAGCTTTTGGTTCATTTCACAGACTGCTATAAACATCTTTTAGCTACTTTTTTTCTTTATGTGAGTTTCTTTGTTTCAGCTTCTAAAACCATGTCATACACTGAATGCGTATAACTATTTTATATTCTGTTTACCATTACTATACTTTATTTGTAGTTTTATTAAATAGTTATGTCTATGCGAGTTGACTAAGCTAAGCTATAAATTGTTTAATGGAATTAACAAAGCTATTGTTATACAGTAGGATCTTTGTAAAAGATTTCTGTATAAGTCTTAACAAGAGAGAGTAGTATATATATCTACTGATGTGTGTGTGGAGATGTACCCAATTGTAACTAATATGCACTGGGTGAAAACATGAACTGCGGTTTAATTTTTTTTCCTTGCAGGTTTATATGGGTTAGTGATGTTTATCAACCCAAAGATGATGGACAAGCAAATCAAGTATGTATTGTGATTGTTACTATTAAAACATTAAATGAGTTTATGATATGGAGATTTTTGTAGTTTTAAGAGCTGCCTATGTATAATACCAGATGAAATGTACGTTAAGAAATATTTAATGGATAAATACCATAACAATCTGAACCACTTTGAACATTTCAGTTTTAACTGTAATAATTCTCTACAGTATTTCAGAGCAGTTTTTCCTGAAGTAACGATGTAAGAACATTTGTTACATTGCAAATAAGTATTTTTATATTTAGTTCATTCTTGTCATTACACTTTCTTTTCCAGTTGAAAAAGAGACCAAGCTTCTACAAAAGATATGACCATTTTTTACTTTTTGACCTTCCACTATAAGAAAGTTTGTCAGTTTATGCTGTTTCAACTTATTTAAATATGCTGTCTGCACAGTTGAACTTTTCAGTTTTTGAAGAAATTGTCTTTTTACCTCAGACATTTCTACTTCTGTATTAGTTCAGATTTGGGATATGTTCCTTCTTTTTAATACCATGATAGTAACCATAAGAACTTTAAGATAAAGGTTTCTTTGACTTGATATTAGACTATATGAAACTTTTAAAATTAATTATACAATGGTATTAAAGCTGAGACTTGTAAAATGGAATTGTATCTTCTCAGGTGTTCATCTCTGAAACCTTTGATGCAACAACCCATTTTGAGACCACATGCTTGGATGTTTTGGATATTTTCCGCAGAGGAACAGGGGAAGATTTTGATTTCTCTAAAGTACACCATACTCTAGAAGAGCAAGAATGAAAACATTGAAGTTTTTCAGCTTTTTCAGGGTATCTTTCTCTGCTTCATTGTTTTTGTATACCTTAAGTCTGTGAAAGGAGCTCATCACTCTGAGAAAGTGTCCCAGGAGCTGACTTTGAACCATCATGTGGACGGCAACTTGTACAACACTGTATGCTCGCAGTTGTTACTGCCACTTTCGTGTCTAGGGAATCTAGTGATGTTTGGGTCATGTTGTAATGTAGAACCAGTTGTTTTGTGTACAGTATTTCAGCTTGTAATTTTGCAGTCCTGTTGTCAGAAAAAAAATAAAATATTGTGCAAGTATCACTTTAATTCTATGTCTGAGCATGTAGTAGTGTAAACCAAATGTTAAAAAGGTAAGCTATTCACCTAACATTAATTAATTTGTATTATTAAGCCTTTTTTTTTCTTTTCTTTTTGCTGAAGTGTAATATTGAAACCATGACCATTCCAATTTTTACCACAGCTGGGCTGTATCTTTATCTTGGTTCACTGCAGCACTAATGTACTTTGAAATTTTCTGAAATAAAATACTGGGTTCCCTGATTTGTTGTAATCTTTGTCATATATGGGAATATTTATTTTTTATATTCATACCATAAGTTAATAAAAATACACAATACCATTAATTTGTCTTTGTACTTTATTTAAAACTTGACTTGTAAATTTTATCTTGGGAATGAACATTATACATGTTTATATAGATATACTGTTACATTTCAGCCTTAAACAGCAACTAAATCTTAAGTTCCATAGTTTAATTACAAATATGCTATAATGTAAGGATTTTTGGTGTCACTAAGGTGTAGATTGTAAGAATTGGTACATATGTATTGCTAGTTTTAGAAAGACACATGCAAGATAAAAACTTGCATCTCATGACAAAAGTTAGTATGGGCTTCCCTTTATCAGCCAACTGTTGTCGTATGCTGCTGAAAGATTTGTAGCATTTTATTTGTGTAACTAATTATGTTAATGTATGAAAACACTTCTTTCACTCACTATCAATGTTTATTTGGTTTAAGCTAGCATTTTTTTAAGAAAATGTTATCTTAAATTTAGTTAAAGTAAATGTTTCATTTCAATACAATTGGTGGACAGAGCACAAATAGTCCACTGTGCTTAACAGAAATGTAAAATTACATTAAGAGAAAGCTAACACACACAGGAAAAGTGTCCTATTGGTATGCCTTTAATACTTTATTAATAATGTTTCAGTAATACACTTCTGCTTTTACATAGGAATTTTACTCTTATAATGTGTATTTCATATTATAAATACAAAAAAACAATCCACTTCACAGGAGAATTAAGCAAGTACATCTTGCTACTGTCTGAATTGTATTAATTCTTACTTTCATATTAATGACTAATAGTCTTTTTCCATGAAGACAGTAAAATTTAAGCACACTTTTTAAATAATATTAATATAAATTAGCTTTTTATACATTGTTTCCAGTTTTCTTCCACAAACTATACTAGGTGCTAAGCATACAAAGTTTTTAAACTACCCTTTATTCTGTCTGTAATGTAAATAATAGATTAATATTTATTCTTAGATTGTTTTAATAGTTAATTAAATTTACTATCATTAATTTACCTTACTGTTAAACCTAATCAATGTTATGGCACATTAAATTCTGATGACATACAAAATGTCAACATTTGAGTTGGTTTCTCATATTTTTAAGCAGTAGACACCTAATTAACTATTATTGTCTATTCTTCCTAAAAATATACATTTTCAATAAAGGAAGAAATGTAATATTTTTTACTACAAATATGTAAATATATTTGAACAATTATACAATTTACTAATCCAAGGCAAGCCAGCATAGTTATACACTGTACCAAGAACTATAAAGAAACCCTGAGTTGGTAACATGCAGAAAAGTTAATGGGAAATATAATGTACAATAATAGGGACATTTTCAGAAATAACTAATATACTATGATAAAAGTAACTCCTTAGAAATAAGCTATATACCTGTGATGAAATAACATATAGAGAAACAAGAACAATAATATATACACTACTATGCTATGCATAGTAGGGGTATGCAAAAGTAATAACAAATTAGCACAATGCAAACCAAGAAATGTTATCTATTATACTTGGTTCCATAACAAAGCTTACAAATACATATCTACTGGATTACTCCCATTAGTCGCCCTAAATCAGCAAGACTAGGAAGGTAATAATCAGGAACCATCATTTGTTTGTTTTCACAGTTGCTGTTACTGCATCTTTCTACTTCATTCAGGTCACTGACACCTGTTAAAACCAGCAACGTCCTTAACCCAGTAGACCTTCCCAAAAGGATGTCAGTACTAAGCCTAAAACAAGTTTGTGTGCATTACTATCAAACAGTAAACTACTTTTATCCTAGTCAAAAAAATATTAAATACATTTTATTCATAAAATCTTAATCATTCATTATAAGAACCCTTAAAATAATGTTAGTAGTTAAGTGGTAGGGTTCATTTCTCAACAAAAAAATACTCGGTTTAATAAAAAAGGATTCAAAATCTAAACCTGATTATTCTCTTGAACAGTAGGACCCACTGGGCAAAGAAAGCCTCAAGTTATTGACACATAACATAAAAAAATTGTTAGGTTATATATTCAATAAGTTTTTACTGTGATTTTTATTAAACTTTAACAACCTTCTGTATCAAGTTACTCAATAATTGTACTAAAAAAAAATATACAAGATTAAACAGAATCACTCAATCACATATCATATCATTTTGATAAATTCATGAAAACACAGCCAACATCAATTAACTAATCTTGTTTCATTTGAATACAAAGCAAATGAAAATGCTATGTAATAATAATAATGTTAGCACATTGTTAAATTTTTGTCAGAATAATGTGAGATTTATAAAGTTGATAGATGATTTTTAAACCTATTACATGTACAATGAAAAAAATCCACATATTATAGTATATTTAGGTTTTATACATTATCATTATATAGAACAATTGTCACCTTAGTTAAAATCAATATCATGATGATATGTTACAAGATCATGCCTATATGAAGAGAGAGATTTTAAATGATAAAATACCCTAACTTTGAATCTCTATATTCCAAACTTTCACCATTTTTATTTTGTGTAATTAAATTAGTTACTGAAATCTAACACACAGAATGTACTTTGTGCACACCTGCAAATTTTCTCTACTAATTTGCTAGGTATGATATAAAAAGTTGAAAACATATAATGACTATTGAATAATGAAATTTTGACTATTTAAATTATTTAAAGTGTCAGAATTACAAACTGATACAGCTTTTACCATCAGGATCCTGTTTCACACATTTTTTGTGGGCATGGGATCATTCATTGTCTTGCTGGAAGAAAAATACCTACTCAATGAGTTATGTTTTTAAGGGAATGGCATGATGTGCCTGTACTTATCAGCAGTCATGATGCCATCAATTATATATAATCACCAATACCATTGGCTGAGATATGACCTCAAATTTGTTTTTATTCCCCACCATGTTTTACTGTAGATTACACTGACTATTTTACTATTCTTTACCATTGAACAAACTCACTGATTGATTGATTTGAACTTGGATACACCTGTATAGAGCAAGTCTCCAGCTTTGCTCATAGCATCGTTTGTGGTCTGATGCCCATTCAAACTTATAACTTTGGTTGCATCTTCTCTGCAATGGGTTTCAAGCAGCTACACATCCAATGAGACAACTTTGTGTTAATGCATAGCTTACTATTCGTGAAGTGACATTCATACTCCTATTTACAGCAAGCTCTGTACTGGACCATTACTATCTATCTCACATAAATCATACCCTGAAATAATAAACATCACTCTTGGAGAGTTAGTTTTCAACCTCTAATCCCCCTTTTTTTTTAAATTAACACTGCTCGTTTCGTGTACTATCTTTTTTAGAACCAAGTTCTTACACATGCAAAAATGTGAGAACAACAAGCACAGTATTTATATGAAAGAATTTTTCCTACAAAACTCATTATGTTAAAACATCATACCAGCAGTAATTCTTAGCTGTGGTTTAATTTTATAAAAAATAATTTAAGAATTATGTATTTCATGAAACGTTTATAACATAATAAAACTACAACCACAATAATGAACAAGAAAAGTTTAGACTTGTAACATTTTTTTACTTTGGTGGTGTAAAAAATGTTATCTTTGCTCTTAAGTTCTTGACTTTATATTCAAGGGAAATATGGAATAGACTAAATATTGTATGACATAGATGACTAAAGATATCATAATTGAGCTAATTAATTTAGGTATTCTGTAAAAAAATACACTTGGAGTAAATTGTAGGTTATGAGATAAATTATAATGTCACAAATAAAATTAAAAATTATAGAGTACCGGTCTCCAATTATAATGCCTTTCGATGGATCTAAGTCTGGGTACTGGTATTTGATACAATCATACAAAAACTTTGCTGGTTTACCAAGGACAATGGGAGTCCTCCCAGACACAGCTTCTACTGCTCGAATAAAAGCTCCTGTTCCTGAAAACAAGATAGATGCTTAAAATGTGTAACTGAATGTCACCTAAACTATTAAAAAAAAAAGACTAAATACATATGCAGTACTATTTGTATTAGTTCAGAAAAGTATCTTTAAACTGAAAACATAAAATAATTCAACATATGATATCAGATTAAAAAAAAACAAAAAACTCAAGGTACAATTTCAAGCATCCTAAATCTCTGGCAAAAAATTTTTCTTATTAAAACAAACAAAAAAGCAAGGATGTCTGTTACAGTTATGAAACCCAAATACTAATAGTGCAATGTTACTTCATGGTTTGAAAATTGGAGTCTTTGAATCTGAAGTCTGCTGTATTAACTACTGGTCTAACCAGCCCAAATTACTAAGGAGTTAAGACACCATTATGTCCTGATGAAATATTCTAAATAATCTGTTTAATTAAAGTATTTTGGTCTTTATTTATAAAAAGTAATATTTTTTTTAGATAAGCTGTTATTTAGACTGACGTTTCAGTGCCTAATGGCTGTACCTCCTTTTTTGAAAAATACAAAACTGGATAAACTTCAACAACTTTCAAACACCAAACACAGTTCTACCAAAATGTTACTAGTCTGCAATCAGGCAATAATTATTAACCTGATTCTTGGATTGTCGGTTATAAATCAACATGCCCAAAACTGTCAACATCTCTATTGCATAAAGACATATTTTGAAAATATATAACAATATATATTTTAGACATAGCAACCTAAATCTGTTTAGTCATTGTGTTGTTTCTCTTGTCTCTGAGAAATCTTTTCAATGTCACCTTCATATTAAGTAAGACAACTTTATACATCAATAAATTAATTAAATTATAACTTGATGAAACTCTAACAATCAATCCATTACTACTACTACTTTAGTAGTTTTGAAATTGTATGTAAAATATTCATGTGCTTCTGGTTACAATTTCTAGAGAATCCAAAAAAAATGAATCACAAGAAAAAGACATTTATGTAGACACTCCTTCCCCTGAGATAAATATATCTTTTTGCAATTCATATTTTTATTTACATTTAAGATTTATTTCTGATATTCCTAGTCTAGTTGTTTAATCTGAACAACTTATTATGTTACTATGAAGAATACTGGTTATGAAATTCCTTTTCAATTCATGCCCTTATTTTACATTAGTCTGAGATATGGTGGTAAGATTGTAGCTTTTTTGAGTAATAAAGATCAAGCCAGGATTAATATTCAATATCCCAGTGTTAAATTCACTGTAAATTTTGAACTGCCTTTTATTTAAACCTATATAGTGCATATTTGAAGTTGGATACTATCATAAAAATACTTTCACTGGGGTTGGGTTATATGTATGTTTTGAGTTTTGTTAACTTTTTAAATATAATGGAACTTTACTTCAGACTAAGATGTTTATTGTGTTTGTCCTGTCTCTTTCACTGGACATAAACCTTCAGACATCAAGCAAGTATACAAATTTCTAACAAGTCACTATCCTTTGCTAATCATAAGAATTTCTAGGGACTCTAGACAAAAACTGTTAAGCAAGAGTGATCTTATCACCACTCCCATTGTTGAAGAATGCCATAATTCCAAGTATACCATGCATTTTTACCCATAAAATCCCTCCCCCAAAGAAAGACGTACAAGACTTTTTAACTAGTCAAATATCACAAGTCCAATACAACATTAAAACATTAATTGTTCACCCTTTATAATTTTACATACAATGCATAACTCACATATGTAAAACACAAATTTGTTTGTTTCTTTGTAACAGACACAAAGGTACTTGTATATATTCTTTTATTTTCACATAACTTACATGTTAACCTTCAAAATGGATATGTCAAAACACAACTTTCATTCACATTTTATTATAAGCTAGGATTGTAGGTGTATTTCAACATTTTATTAATGTTCTATTGATACTATATATATATATATTTCCCATCATGAAGTAATATGCTAAAGTTTGTAATAGGGTTTAGCCTAAAAAATCAAATCGATTGCATTAGTCATTTCTAAAGCTGTAAAACTAAAGAAAGATGCAAGTGAATATAAAAGGTTACAATTTTTATCATAAATGAAAGTGTTTCACTGGATTACAAATCAATTTTTTAATATCAATTTGATAGTGTGCAATTTCATCAAGGTTTTTATGTAAAATGAAATTAACTGACATAAATGTGATAGTCATCTCACCATAGCTAGTATGGTTCTACTAAAGAATGTAGGTTACATACATAAAAAATATTAGACTTTGCCTACAGCCTAAGCAATAATTAAATGCACCAGCAAATTTTACGAGTATGAACAAGTAATTCTTATAAAACTATGTTCTGCCAAAAACAAAACAATATTGTAATTAATGTAGCAACAACCGTTGATTTATCTATTTTGAGAAAAAAACATGTTTGTTAGTGATTTCACAGACTTAAGCAATAAAGCTTAATAGTTTTATTTTCTAGAGTACTTAATCCAAATAAACAAGAATATTGTTAAAAAGAAAAATACAAGAAAATATATCACTTACAAAGTTCACTTATATTTTGCCACTCCATTACTCTAGTTAAATTTTATTCCACTTTTTTTATGTCCAGATCTCATAGGATTTATTTTGGACAATTACTTTTTTATATAAATTAGAGAGTAACAACAATGTGTAGTGTTCAGTTCAAACAGTAATTGTAATTTGGAGAAGTAATCATAAGACTCAGTTTACACACCTTTTTAATCCTCTATGGTGCACTTCCTCCTCCTGTCTTTACACTAAGACAAACACATCCATGCAATGGTTATAGTCCTTCAGAGATTTTAGCACAAAGCAGTTTTTTGAATCTTGTAGTAACTACAAACTCTTGCTATTCAAGTACTGCAGCAGGAACAGACTCTCAAAAACTGTACGCTATACTACACAGTGTAAAACATAAGTCATCCAATATATGCTTCAAAATGCACTAAAATAGACTTTTAAATGTATACAAAATAAAAGGCTGAGTGACTCGCTCTTTGATTACTGTGCAGTACAACCTTGTGAAATGTGTCTGATAATTAAAAAAAAATCACTAACCTTTATACATGTAGTAGTGTGAAACCATCATACAATCTAAGTCAATGCAACATCATTTACTTTGTGATAACATAAAATAAACAATGTATCCCAATAATTATTGCAATATGTGGGAAAGACCTATATTTTTATTATATTTTGAATTTTGACAATTAAAAGTGTAAAATGTATCTTAGTTAATAAGTAATAGATTTGTGTGAAAGTATATGATAGGGAATAAAGCAGTGAAAAAGAGAAACTTTGATCACACCACACCATTCTGTGTGAACAGTAGTTTTTACATTTTCTGACCAACATTATCAAAATAAAAGAAAAAATAATAGAAAGTATAAAGTCTGCAAAAAATAATTAAAAAAGACAAAGCATACATATAGAAATATAATTTTTTTATCAATAACAAAATAAAATTCACCCATATAGACTAATTCCTAGTTTAAATTTAAAGTAGATATTCTTTGTGTACAGAAAACAGCATATTCATATTGAACAATGAAAAAAGTAACTGTTTGTTGATAAAGTCTAGTACCAATTACTAAAAACCCAGTAGACCATGTGATTTATGGCAGTGGTTCCTAACCTTCTTTCCAGTTGAAGACCAGCTAGTTTCAATCCAAAAACGTCATAGATCATTTCATGAAATAGTGACTTTTTAAAGTACTTTTATGTTACATTGTAAAACAATATATTTTAATAACTGTATTTTAAAACACATATTTTTAACCATCTTGCATATCGGCTTAAACCTCCTTGTGGTGTAAGAGGGGCAGGTACCTCCCCAACAAGGAAAATGGAGAGAAAAGGTCAATGGTGTAACTACTCAGGTAGAAAGTTCAGTTCTTCTTGTAAAGAACTAGAAACAACCATCCTAGAGCCAGCCAAAAGAGAAACTTGAAACTGAGAATACCTGATTAAACCAATGATTCATTGAAGGCAAAATAATAAAAAAAGAATACTGAAACCAAGATTACTTAAAGCACTCTTCAAATTCCAACTAAACAAAGTTCTTTGTAAAGATATCTATGAGTTATTACAAAAGGCTCTTCCTGATCAATAATCATCTGTACAGAAACAGAAATCAATTGTTCAGGATTGAACACACAAAGCAATAGCTTTAGTAATACTGGTGAAAAGAGCTGTTGGTGAAACAAATGACAAGACGTTGAACTAGCGAATGATATCTCTATGTATGAGACACTGACAAAAATTCTTAACAAATCAGGATACATACATAAGCATCCAAACTCTTCATCTTCATCATTCAATAACCTGGCTTAAAGGCTAAGATGAGTACTGAAAAGCCTTTCATTCTGAAAAAAGGTACCAGGATAAAGTTCAGTGGAAAAACCTATGACAAATCACTAATCCATTTACTAGGATATCTTAATGATGGAGATGTAAAAGAAAATTAAATGTAAAATGATGATGCAGTCAAAAAGATGCTCCAGAGATTCAACCAAGTCAGCCTAGGCTGAATACTTAAATTAGAGCTGTAATGTACAGCATTAGTGAAAGCAAAAATACCATGGAAAAAAGTTTTTTAAATTCATGTAATAAACAAAAGAATCTGTTTCAAAATAAGATTGATCATCTCAAATAGGGTTATCAACTTTACAATCCTTCGGGTTAGTAGACACTATTCTGAACATGTGTAGAACAATTGTACTGAGACTATCAGATGGAGAGACAATCTTATTCACAAAACTGATCTGATCCATACATGAAAGAACATACATTACAAATGTTTTGTCAGGGAAACCAACGTAATTGGAGGTAAGGTTTTTGTACCTATAGAGATTAGTCAGTACATGTGTTTAACCATGATGGTCATTGTAAGAGATAAGAAAAGTTTACCGAAACAAAAAAAGAACAGATTTTCCTACCTGGAATCACTAGATGTTTCAAATCTGTCTGGAACTGTTCATCTATGTTAGTAGCTATATAAACACAATTTGGATCTTTGAGATAACTCACTGTTTTGACTAACTTTGGGTAGCTAACATGTTGGTCAAAACCCACTACTACAGCTCCAACCTACAATAAAAATAAAATTAACAAAAATTATAAGTACATAATTTATTTTTTAAACATTACTACTTGTAAAGAAAAAAAGTATTTTGCTTCAATGCAAGTTTTCATAGAAAGCACTAATTTTTTTTTCTGACCCTTCTCACTTCCAGTCTTTTAAAATAATCTCAATTAAAAGTTTGGCATTAATCGTACTATTTTTTCATTCTGAACTTACATTTTGATCAATATATGATTATGATACACAGTCTTGAAGTTAGCAATATGTTAATTTTGATTTACTTTACATAATAAATTTCTTATCCCTCTGGATACACATGGGTAAAGAGTGTAGATGTCAGAACTTTTTTACAGAGTTACATTCAAAATTCAATTAAATTACTTTATTATCAATGAATATAATAAACTTTGCATAAAAATGTAGTTAATAAATATAATTTTAATTTCTCAATTTCAAAAGGATATATTTAAAAAACTCTTCTTTGTTCCTACATGCAACATAACACCTGTTTGCTTCTAACTCTCCAGTTTAAATATTCTTTTTATTCCTATTTGAATTTTTGAGTTTTGATACAGATTACAAACTTATAATATAGATATTTGCTAAAACATAATCTAATTCTATGCTCTCTAATCATCTTGACTGACAGATATAAACTAGAAAGTCAAACCCACATGCCATGCTCTCATATCGCATACTTTCTTTCAAAAAATATCAATAATTTACCCTGAGATTTGCTAATACATTATTTATAAACAATAGAAAAAATTATTTAAGTTTAATTATTTAAGAATTACAGAATAGGCTAGCTTGTTCTTAAGATAACTTCTGAATTATTTAGCCTACAAATTCAAAGTTGCTATTGCCGAGTTCATCTCAACCAGGTAAGGGAAACATTTTAATACACTTATAGCTTAGTTAGAAAGCCAGTTAAATTATAATAGTTATAGGACATTGTATTTTTTGTGTGTGTGTTATTATTTTATTTCCCATTTGAATACTTGAAATAAATAAAAATTCATAAGGTACTAACAATGACCCTACCAAACATTAAGGGTAACTTTTATCAATACTTTGACTGAAAAAAAAGTACAATACTCGTATGTAAATACTAAAATTCTTGTTAGAAAAGTCATTAAAATGTAAAAATTTGAAACTCATTAGATTAGTTAAGAAAACATAAAAAAAAATTCTCAGTGATGCATACAAGCTGCACAAGAATTAGATAATTGAATACATTGTTTTACTGTAACTTGGTGTTTGCTAGCAGGGTATTTATAGTTTTGTTAGGCACATTTATTAGTTAGACATGGTTCAAAGGTTAATAAAACAATAACAATAAATAAAAACAGATGTAAACTGTCGAGACTGAGGCTGTTTAGGATAGCTGTAATTTTCTGTTACAATGCAGAGCCATTATAGAAAAAAAAGATTTTAGATTTAGATTTATTCATTTATAAATTTAGATTTATTTTACATTTTTTTGTGATGTTTTTACTTTAGTAAAATAGTCTGACCCATATAGTGTTAGGGTACATAAAATATAAAGTTTTACAAAAAAAAAACAACATTTGGTATTCATTTAGGAGGTTCCATAAATTATGCAAATGAAATCTGAAAAATTCCAGATGAAAAAAAAATGTATTTCTAATCTTAATGTGTAAATCACCTTGCATTCAGACTATGACTCCACATATTTACAGACATTTTTTTGTAAACATACTTAATTACAAAATCAGATTTTCTGTGTACAAAAGACTTGTAATGTTTACCAAATGCTTGCCAAGTTTCGTAAAGATACATTTACTACATTAAGAGTTATAGAATGTATAGTTTTATGGTTATACAATAGTTGCATTGTTTGTCAAAATGACCAAGCTATCATACAGAGGGTCAAACTCTCCTACTCATGCCACATCATGTTGATAGTTTATGTCTTGGTCTACTATAACACTTTGTAAGTAATTTCTTTTTAAAAGCCTCACAACAGCTGGACAGAATTTTTATTATTTTAGAATTCTTCAAACTAATCTGTCAAGCTTAGTTTTACAAATGGAAGGCTGTAGCAACACTGTTAAAGTCTGCTTTTATTCTTAGCCAAAACAAGTAAACTAGTAAAATTTGTAATTTTTCATATGTATTGGACAGTTTCACAAGCAAATTTTAATATTGTTATTATTTTCAGATGTTAAAAAAGTTTGTTTATACCATACTCAGATGAACAATGGGCACAGATGGGCAGAAAAATGTAATTTTTCATCATTTTTACTTTACTGCAAAACCTTTTTGATGCATAGTTATCAAATTTTATTAACTCCCTTCCTTTCCATCGGAGCATGCTTGGTACTCCCACTATTGCTAAAAGAATAGGGGTGTACTCTAATAAAGGTTTTTCATACTCAATCCAATGATATATGGTTTGTAACGCCTTTCTTTAATCAAACACACAGTAACTCACTCAAATATAAAATTTTTGATATTTTATCTAATTTCCTAACTGTCCCTGGTTATTAAGATTACAAAATGATTGGGCATTAATAATGATGAAGATATGTATTTACTTCTACATATAAAAACTTACCTCAGAATCCAATTTCAACTCTTTTGCTACCCAGTTATACCAGTATTCTGTTTCAGGCATTGGATCTGGCTAGTGAAAGTAAATCAAATCTTTGTGTAAATACTTAGATGTTATGACTTAATGTCTTTGACATATGATTACATTGTGACAAACACACTTTGTGATTGAGCACGTCATCTTTATTAAAGTTATTGAGAAATGAAAAATATTGCACTACTAAGACCATTACTGAAATGATTGTAATTCAAAATCATGTATGTTTGATTACTTTGGTGAAATAAGAGATATTAATAACTTACTGTCAAAAAAGTGTTATGAACTTCAGTCAGCATCATGTATGTATTAAGTGATCCAAGTATATTTTAGACCATGTTCAGCTAGTTTCAAATAGGTTTCTGACAAAACAAATGCACTAATGATAAATCACATACAGATACAATTTCATAATCATTTGAGAAATTCATAAGTAATTATTTTCTTACACCAACAGGTAGGAAAGGGATTCCAGCACTGTGAAGTTCACCTGCAATACCACTACTTCCAAGGACGTACACCTTTTTTTTGAAATCTATGGACTTCAAGTACACTGCCACACAGTAGGATGTTGGGAATATTCTATCCTGATCAATGAGAGAAATTATATACACTTGTACACAAACTTTCTGCTCAGTCAGTTTTTGTTCATGAAACAATGTAGCTTTCACACACACATTTTCACTTTAGTAATGCTTTTTGGACTCTAGGTGTGAAACAAGATCTGTGGTTTCAGAAGTACTATAATAACACAGCATAATGTTTTTGGACAACAGGGGGACCTATTAGTCCATCTCAGCTGTTTCATCCTTTAAAATAATTTAAAACCATAAATCTTAAAGCCAGCCCTTATCATTCATATACTTATCAAGCTTTTTCTTAAACTCACTTATATTTAGTGCCTCTACAACATCTGAAGGCAACCCATTCCAAAGGCAAACAACCCTGTTAGAAAAATGAAATTGTCTTAGCTGAAGATGATTCCTACCTTGGCAAAATTTCTCATATTCTCATATTCTGTTTAATATGAAGAAAAGATGATGCATCAACACTATCAATTATCTTTACAATCTTAAACACCTCAATCAGATCCCCCCCCCCAACTCTTCTCTTTTCAAGAGAAAACAATTTGAGAGATTTCAGCCTTGACAACCCCTCCATCCCAAGCACCATTCTAGTAGCCCTTCTCTGAACCTTTTCCAACAATTCAGCAGGGTAAATTATCTTACAAAGAATTTACCCAGTTTAAACTTTTAAACAGATTTTTCACCTGTAAACTGAGTCCAATTCCTTACCAGAATGACAAGTTTTATAAAAAGCTATTACTAAGAGCTCTTTCAGTCATGCAAGTGTATTTATCTGTAGACTCGACTTGATAAACGTCTTTGTTTCAAATAATCACTCACAATAAGAGAGATCAGTAGTGTAACTAGGGAGGGTTAAACAGGGCAGCTGTCTTGGGCACAGCCCGGAAGGAGATGCAGAGCCTCAGCTATTTTAACATATATTTAAAAACTAAACCTGATAAAATGATTTGGCAAAAATTTTCATTATCATATATTATTATAAACAGGATTGCTTTTGCTTTATGATCATATAGTATGTGTGTGTGTGTGTAGGGGGGGGGGGCAGTTCGTCAAATTTGCCCTGGGCACAAAAATACCTGTTTATGCCACTGCCAGAGGTTTATGTATTCTACTAAACTAGGTCAAAGAACTTAACTCACACTGTGCAATGTTACTTAACATTTTCATTCTCATTTCTAACAAAGTATTTAAAAAAAATACACATTTCCTTTCTATAAGTAAGAGCTATTTATGTTCCTTAAAGGAAAAGATATGTGATACACTATAGGTGCATGTGTTGATATTAGTTAGCATATTAGAAGTAACCTATGCAATGTCTTTGAAAATATTACTCCTGAAAGAGATTATGGAACATTATTTTAACTAAACAATAAAAATAATTCCCCTGAAAGAGATTATGGAACATTATTTTAATGTTCTTTTGTCCTTAATGTATATCTGAAGAATAAAGATATTACCCCTGAGATCTTACGGAACATTATTTTAATGTTCTTTTGTCCTTGATGTATATCTCAAGAATAAAAATATTACTCATGAGAGAAATTACAGAACATTATTTTAATGTTCTTTTGCCCTTCTTGTAGTATAACTCAACAATAAAAATATTACCTCTGAGAGATTATGGAATGTTATTATAATGCTCTTTTGTCCTTCTTGATGCATAGCTCAACTAGGCTGCCAACAGATTTAAAATATAAATTGTATACATATTTCTTAGAAACTTTTAGTTTCCAAACAAACTGCTTAGTAGAATTTAAACACTTACCACACTTGATTTAAAACCAAGCACTTCACATTTCCTATGGTATTCATATCTTGACTTACTACTGTTATTTGTGACAAAGATTACTGTCTTACCCTGCAATAGACAGAAAAAGTGAGAAAAGTTATTGTTTTTCACATAACTAGTAAAATATTACAAATATAAGTTTATACTACATCCCACTTTCATGCAATATATACTTAAACATAAAAACATTTTGTATAAAAATGAACCATAAAACAGATGTTGTTGGTAATGTGTTAGTTTTCCTTAGTCATTTACACAATGTTGTAAACAATACAAATCCCTAATAAGTATTCCAGTTTGCAATTGTTATAACAAGTTAGAAATTAAATACATAGTACATTACATACGATACTTTACCAAAATTACTAACATCATTTGCCATAAATATTTATTTTATTGTATTACTATCATGAATATACAAGTAGTATAGTAACAATGTAATTAGCTGCATGGCATTCATGTTAAAATTTATTAAACAGTTTTATATATTTGTGTTTTATTGTTAATTAAAAACAATTCTATCACAATGCATACACCCAACAAAGTAAGTATATTTCCACTTAGCTAAAATTGGTCCTTCAGGGAATGATCACATGTGCTAATGTAATAAATATTTTTAAAAAATTGAATAAGAGTCAAAAATAAATCTGGAGTGCACGTTTGTCTTATTACCATATCTTGAAGAGCATTTATAGTTTCTTTTGCTCCAGGAATTGCTTCATTTCTATTCCACAGTACTCCTGGTATTAGAAAGAAACAGTATATTATCAAAATGTCAAAAAAAAATTCTTCATTGTCTAAGCATTTCAAATTTTTTTTTTCAATATGTTTCATTACATGAATGAAATATTTTAAATATATGTTTTAACTAATGGGTGTTACTTTTTAATGGAATTTTCTCAACTGTAAATTATGGTTTAGAAGCAAAATTTCTTTTACAAAGTGTTACACCTTTAGATGGAAGCCTACATATGTAGTAGGGTATGTAGTAAAATAAGTAACAGAAAAGTTTTAATAATTTTTATGTTTTTTTTCATAACAGATTTCTGTTCTAACTTCTAGGATAATACTTAGTCAACCAGTATTCCAGTTACCATTAAAAAGCATTGTTATTAACATAGGATACACAGAAAGTTCTAGGAACTTATGAAAGATAGTACAAAAATAATTAACATCTTAAGCAAAGGACAAATAAAGAAAACAAAAGTCATTTGAATTGAAGTAGAAGATGGCAGCCTTATGCATGATGCCACACCTAAGGAAAACTTGATCCAAAGCATCATTGTCTAGCACTAAAAAAACAAGCTTCACACAGAAAACTACCAACACATGACAGCTGAGAAGTAACTATTTGAATATAAATATAATAATGCATCTAAGTTGACAGTAAACTCTAGAACAATCTGAATTGATTGATTAAATGCTATAATTAATCCCAATATTTTGTTTCTGAGATTATCTTTTGTATTTAAAGTTTTCTCTATAATAATACAATCCTAATTCCTAATCGCATTATACAGTTATTAATTAGCTGGTTTTGTATTTCATAACACAAAATGCTGAAAAAAAGGAGCTTCAACGAAATTCAACTACGGTGTGGTAATGCCAGTGTCAGACTCTCAAACCAGAATAACTGGTCACAATCAGAACATAATATTTGCTAAAGACATATTGAAGCAATTATAGTAAAAGCAATAGGAATCTTAATAAAAGCACGTTAATATCATTAACACTACAGTACAATTACCATCACAATCGGTGAGTACAAAGTCAAAAGAATTCAAAAATCCATTATGAAACACAGTTGCATCAAGTTTTTTCGTCATGATCAAGCACCGAGTCTAGGATAGTAATAATCTGCCGCCAATGGCCAAATACTAGTATACACAAAATATATAAACTGAGCCTCTGAACTTGTGGACATATAACTATCATCAGTAAATATAATTTAGTAAACTATTTTATTTCAACTTGTTTTACGTAATAAAAGAAAAATATACAAACTAGAATTGTGTATTTCATCCAATTAAATATATATATATATTTAAAATTTTTGGTTTTTTTTCGAATACTCTGAAATAAATGGTATTAATAAATGACAACTGTGGTAGCAAGTCTGAAAAATAGATGTACGATACTCGAAAGAGTACAAGACACCCCCGAAACGAAATAACCGTTTATACACTTTACTTAAGCACTTCGAAAAAGCTTCAAAAAACACTGTTTTACAATAAATAATAAATTAAAGCTCAAAGAAGAAAATTTCTTATGTTCAGTTTTACATAAATTCCTTTTCATACTGCTACAGGAACGGCATATCCTTTTGTTAAATAAAGTTAAATTACTGCCTCATAATAAACACTATGAAACGAAAATCGAATTTCAGGTAAAAATGTTAAATTCACTCGACGTTTAGCTTTATAAGAAAATTCGTTGTTAAATATTTCTCTGTTCTTTCAGTTTCATCGTGATCTAGCAGTATTCCCCCAGTTATAATCAAGTGCCTATGCAAAATGGCCAGGTGGTTAGGGCGCTCGACTCGTAATCTGAGGGTTGCGGGTTCGAATCCCCGTCCCACCAAACATGCTCGCCCTTTTAGCTGTGGGGGCGTTATAATATTATGGTCAATCCCACTATTCGTTGGTAAAAGAGTAACCCAAGAGTTGGCGGTGGGTGGTGATAACTAGCTACCTTCCCTCTAGTCATACGGTGCTAAATTAGGGATGGCTAGCGCAGATAGTCCTCTTGTAGCTATGCGCGAAATTTAAAAACAAACAAAAGCCTATATAAACTTCAGAATTTCTATAGAGCACTCAGCACTGTAATGTGAAACTCAAGTAAACAATATTCTTTTTGAGTCTTATGGATCTTCTATACTGTTTATTATGTCTTTATTTCATTTAGCATTACGTATACCAGTTAAACAAAGTACATTAACACCATTATTTACGTTAACTATAGATTGTTAAGTAAAGAATATTGGTTAATAAGTTGTTGTTGTTTAAATTAATATTATCGCCTCTTCCGCCACTAGTATTATTCCTTTTGATAAATAAACGTGTCATTGGTTTGTAAAGTTCATTACACCGCGCTTTGTCTTTTTCGTATGTACAAATTATAGTTCTTATAAATTCCGTCATATTTATGCTATGTGAACTTAATAACAAAATCTCATTATCTTAATATCATTGTGATATTCAGGAATCATAAGTTGTTATAGACATACAATTGAATAGTTCTAAACGGAGCTAGTTGTTGCTCAGAATTAGTTTGGTATTGCCAGATTCTGCTTTGTCTTCATTCTTTGTAGAATAGTCAATCTAGCACCTATACATACACAGTATAAAACGATCATAAGGCTTCAGGTAAAAAAACGTTATATTCGCTCGACGTTTCGTTTTACGAAATAACCCATTGTTAAACATACTTCTGTTCTTTCAGTTGATCGTGATCAAGTGGTTGGTACAGTATGTGAGAGCTATGACCACATACATTTTCCATTGTGATGACTTAATGGTTATGATAATGGACACTTAAAAACAAAAAGTATCATTGTAAACGTTTTGGCTTTGTTTTGTACATGTATATATCTATATATCTGTTTGTTTGTGCCCCCCAGTGGCACAGCGGTATGTCTGCGGACTTACGATGCTAGAAACCGGGTTTCGATACCCGTGGTGGGCAGAGCACAGATAGCCCTTGTGTAGCTTTGTGCATAATTAAAAACAAACTGTTTGTTTGTTTGAAGTTAAGCACAAAGCTACACGAAGGGCTATTTGTGCTCTACTAACCACGGGTATTGAATCCTGGTTTCTAGCGTTGTAATTCCGCAGACATTCCGCTGTGCCACTGGGGGGCATCTATATGTCTTTAGTATAAAGTATCCGCATCCAATAAAACTAGAAAAACACATTATTTCTGTCGTGGACGATTTTAATTTATAACTACGATTACAAGCAATACAAAGTCTTCAGCAACGTTAGTTATTAGAGTACTATTCATATTTTGTTTTACATATTTTTTCAAACTGCTGAAGCAAGCGAAAACAACAATTCACACTGCTTTCCAAGATTCTGTTAGCGTTCAGTCCCCAACTTTAACACATATTCTTTGTTGTTGAAGAACAGTTTTCAGCCGAACCTGAGTTGCTTACATTTGTAGAGACAAAGTAATAGGTGCCAGTAATCTGTTTGTTTGTTTGAAGTTAAGCACAAAGCTACAAATGGGCTATCTGTGCTCTGCCCACCGCGGGTATCGAAACCGGTTTCTAGCGTCGTAAGTCCGCAGACATACCGCTGTGCCACTGGGGGGCGCCAGTAATCTGACGGTCTGTGCTCACACACATTTGATAACTTTTAGTAAACCCAGAACGTCCAACTTTTCATTTCTTTTATATAACTTCTCAGATTACTCGCTCTTATTGGTAATTTCACTTGTTGATGCTTCCGTGTTACCAAGTATCAGGAAGAAGCAATGAAGGATTGAAATCGCTATCAGATAAAAAAAAAATGAATTAGAACTAGCAGGACCAAACTTGGCATGCGAACTCGGGGTGACCAGGTAGAGGGGTGTCTTTATCTATTTCGTGTTGCCCCATATCTAGAGAGTACCAAGTCGGGCTAAAATGCGCCCGGAAGGTTCACCCAGACATGATGTGGCCTAGTAATAGATTTTAGAACTAGCAGGACCAAACTTGGCATGCGAAGTCGGGGTGACCAGGTTGAGGGGTGTCTTTATCTACTTCGCGTTGCCCCATATATAGAAAGTTCGAAGTTGGGCTAAAATGCACCCGGAAAGTAACCATGGCATGATGTGGCCTAGTAATAGATTTTAGAATTATCAGGACCAAATTTGGCATGCG